GAGGGAGGGAGAGAGAGAGAGAGAGAGAGAGAAAGAAAAAAGAAAAGAAAAGAAAAGAAAGAGGGAGGGAGAGAGGGAGGGAGGGAGGGAGGAAGGAAGGAAGCCCAGAAATCTTTTCTTCTTTTCTTTTCTTTTCTTTTCTTTTCTTTTCTTTTCTTTTCTTTTCTTTTCTTTTCTTTTCTTTTCTTTTTTCTTTCTTTTCTGATAGAATCCTCCAGATTTATCATCCTCTCTGGGACAGGTGCATCTTAGGGCCCCTGCCACAGCCCCACCCTAAGTTTTATTTCTGTACACTAGGCATTGTAGTACACTACAACATTGCAGTCTGGTTTTCTCTGATGAAGTAGAGTCTTAGTCTTGTTTTTTATACTAAGCATTTTAGTCTGGTTTTCTCTGATGAAGTAACCCAGTTGTTGGTAGCTAGTAGTTAGATAATTGGCTAAGTCAACATTTGATAGCTTATAGGTCCCAGCTATAACTTAGATACAGCTAAGAAACAGTTTACTTATACACTTTAAGAATTATATATTTTTATTTATGTATGTATTTATTTATTTTTTAGTGTTTTGAGACAGGCTGTCACTGTGTAGTCTGGGCTGTCCATGAACTCACTATATAGCCCAGGCTGGCCTCAAACTCATGGCAGTCCTCTTGCCTCAGCCTTCCAAGTGCTGAGATGACAGGTGTGTGCCACCATGCCTGCCTAAGATTATTATATCTCTAATAAAATTACTTTTAACTATAATTAGAGGCCAAAGTTGCCTGATACTCTAATTTCTTTATGAAGGTATTTCATGTGACTTATGAATAAATTTTATGTTAATAGTAATATATTTGTTAGTGATCAACAAATATTTTGTTCTTTATATCATAATTATTCTGATGATATTTCTTAATTGATAATTTCAGATTTTTGATCACCATACTGAAGAGGATATAGATAAAAATGCTGACAGTGTATCAATAAAAAACCTGAGCAGGACCCCATCTAGTTGTAGCAGCTCTCTGGATTCAATCAAGGCTGATGGGACCTCTCTGGACTTCAGCAGTAAGATCTTCATGATGGCTCAATGACAGCTATCACCTACATTCTTTTTTTAAAATCTGCATTCTTGACCAATAATAAATATTTCTGTTTAGGAAATATTTGAATGTAGTTTAAACATTTTCAAGGTTATAAAGAATTAATAAGTACAATTTATTTTAATTCTTATTTAATAAATTTTAAGAAGTGATATACTACAAAGGAATACAGTTACTTCAGATTTTTACAATTAGATTATAGTTATATAATTATAGTTTTATAATTATAAGCATTGAATGGAACCTTAAAACTGTGATATATTTTGCCTTACTACATGATTTTCTTCTTAGAAGCATCCTAGTGGGTAGATTCAAGGTCATGAACAATGCATAAATCTGAAAGATAACTAAAATTATGTCTACAATTTATCATATGAATTTGCTTTACTTTTAGTGTACCGGAATAGTCAAATGGAATCCCAGTTTCTTGGACACACTATTTGTGAAGAGAGCTTGTGGGAGGTACGTTAAAAGTATTTTTTATTTCCAATGGACTAATTTTCTTGTTTTAAAAAACATTTTTGTAAAAAGTGAGAATGATGGGCCAGAGGTATAGCTCAGCAGCACAAGTGCCTGCCTGGCGAGTGCAAGGTCCTGAGTTCAGTCCTCAGTACCAAAAAAAAAAAAAAAATGGGCATAGTGGTGAATGCTTATCTTCCCAGCACTCTGGGAGGCTGAGTCAGGAGGATTACAAGTTTGAGCACAGCCTGGGCAATTTACTGACTTCAGAGAAACTCTGTCTCAAAAGTAAAGCTAAATGTAGTAGTACTTACCTATAATTCTCATCACTCAGGAGGCTGAGGCAGGAGGACTGTTGCAAGTTCAAGGCCAGCCTGACCTATACAGCAAGACCCTGTCTCAAAAAACAAAAAATAAAATAAAATAAATTTAAAATGTAGGAGAATGTAGCTCCAAGGCCCTGGTTTCAATCTCCAGTGCCACACACCAAAAAAATGTTTTTGTTTGTTTGGTTTTTTTGTTTTTCAGTACAGGGTCTTGCTATGTAGTTCAGGCTTGCCTTGAACTTACTGTGCAGCCCAAGCTATGCTCGAACTCTTGGTGATCCTCCTGCTTCAGCCTCCCAAGTGCTGGGATTACAGGTGTACAACACTGTGCACAGCCAAAAAGGGTTTGTTTTGGTACCAGGAATCAAACCCAAGTCCTTGCACTTGCCAGGTAGGCACTGTGCCGCTGAGCTATCTCCCCTGCCCCTAAAAAGTTTTAAAATCATGAAATATTTCAAACATACAGATTAGTTTTCTTTGTTAAGGACTCAACAATTATATGAAGTAGAATTTTAATCCATTTTCTATTGCTATAACCTAATGCCACAGACTAGGTAATTTATAGAAAATAGAAGTTTAAAAAAAAAAAGTTTTTGAAAAAGAGGGTTTTAGTTGATGGTTCTGGAGGCTGAGAAGTCCCACAGCATGGCACTGGCATCAGCTCGACTTCTGGTGGGGCCTTTTTGCTGGGGGAGAGTCTTTGGAGACACAGGTTATCATATAGTAAGATAGAGCTGGTTTGCTAACGTGGGTCTCTTCAGAAGCCACTAATGTAGTTATAGGGACCCGCATTTCATGACCTCATCTAACCCTAAGTATCTCTCAAAGACTTTGAGGATTAAGTTTCAGCATGAGTTTTCGAGAGGGCAAACACCCAGACTGTATGAAGTAGAAATGAAGTTTAAAGTTAGGTGTGGTGGTACATGCCTGTAATCCCAGCTCTCAGGAGCCTGAGGCAGGGAGATGACCATGAGTTTGAGGCCACCCTGGGCTACATAGTGTTCAAGCTTGGACTCACTCGAGGCCAGCCTGAACTACATCAAGATCTCATCTTAAAAAAATGAAAAAAAAAAAAAA